TCACCACATTTGCTTATTCACCCGCTTTGTCTTCAGCGGTTGTGTCGGGAAGGTTATCATCATAGAATGCCGATTTAATAGAAGAAAGTATTCTTGCTTTGAGGGAGTACTTGAGTGGAGGCCCAATGTCGAATTTTCATTTCTTTAATCATTCTTTATGCTCCCACACTGGTCTCACTTTGTGTGTGTTCTATAGTCTGTCGTTATTCCTCTTCATATGTAAGTCCAGAACTGAACACACGCTATAGGCGTGGTCTGGCCAGTGCAAGTATGACCTACTATCACCTCCTTCAATCTAGACTCTATACCTCTACTAATGGAACCCAAGTTTTCAATGGGTTTTGTTTTTATACCCTTTTGGTATCTGTTGAGCTGAGAATATCTAACAGCTCAGAGCTCTTTCACAGGAATGTTGGCAAAACCTTACTTCCCATTGTTAGCCTGTGCAATCGAAGTACTGAGCCTAAAGTAAAGAACCTGACATTTATCCGGGAGGATAGATGCTCTCCTTGCCTAGGTGATGTCAATGTGTCCTCATGCTCTAGAAACCCAAAGAATGGTTAGCTGACTCTCTTTAATCTGGAGAATAGAATGTTTATTGTATCTTGATGGAGAGTAGGCAGTGCTGGTGGCAGGGCAGAGAGAAGCCGAAATGCTGTGACTCTAGTTCCCAACACCTCACTTGCATAGGGTCACTGGGGAACTCATTCCTCAGGGTCGTGTGGACTATCTGTCCTGGGTTAGCTCAGCAGGACTGAAAAGCCCACAGGGGTTGATGTGAGAGAAACTAGAAGCCCAGACATATTACAGTCTGCATGGTCTTCTACTGTCTCCTGAGAGAAGGGACATCCCAGAGCCCTCCTGCTGTTGATCCGGGTACTCAGAAGGGCTCGGGCACCCCTGCCCACCATCTGCCATCCCTCCTGACCTGGGCTGCATGCCCGGGCTGCTGTCAGTGTTCAGACCACCTAGGAGGAAGAGTGATCGCTTTCTTGATCCAGCTTGGCTACCATGCATCGTCCACACTTGGCTCTAACTGTCCATCCTCATGGTCACTCTGGCCTGACCAACGGCCTTCCTGGCACAGGCCTCAGTCGACCCTCCTGGACACTGCAAGGAAAAGCGACAGGACAACATCAGATTCTGAAAGGAGACTGGCCTCATCCTTAGACTCACCCTTGATGCCCAAACACCTGCTCACAGGCATGATGTAGTCACCCCAGAAGCCACGAGTATCCATGACCCATAGTCGTTGTAGCTAATGTTCCCAGTTACTACTTACATGGCTTTAAGGAGACAGAGGGTGGTGGCCTCTTGGTGACATCTAGTTATTGTCCCAGCACCCAGATACCCAATCACTTTGGGAGGCACATTGTGGGCACAGAGCAGCAGGTCAAGAAAAGGATCTGCTTTGGCCCAGCTCAGCTACTCTAGCTCTGTGACCCTGGGCAAGTCACTTCACCAATCTGAGTCTCAGTTTCCTCATCAGGTAAGGATAATCAAGCCCCGTTGCTATTAAGCAACTATAATCAAGGACCGATCATGTTCAGAAACATGTAAAGTATGGAAGAATGAGGAATAGTCAGACTCCCATCCTTTCTATGCCGGGTCTCACAGCGAAGCACTTGTACATCCATTACTCTCTTGACACCCGCGTGCACCACCTTCTAGTTGAAGAAACTGAGATTGAAAGACGCTTCAGGACTCCTCCAGGGTCAGAGAGCTGGCAACCTCCTAGAAGGACTGGCATCCTTGTTTTTTCCTGCTACACCTTCTTCAAAGCAGAAGGCTGATGAAAGCAGCGAACCCCAGAAGGACTGTACACTTACCTAGCAGCCTAAGCTTCTGAAAGAGAGGGATGAAGCCTTGCAGGACACTGTGGATCCGGTACACTGTCAGAAACAAGGGAGAAAGAGGAGTTGAGGTTTGTGGCCCCTGGAGAGATGCAGGGTCAAATCCTTCCACCTGCCCACACAAGCAATGCTCAGGGTGAGGGTAGGGGGTTCCTGGCAGCAGGCTGAGCTTAGATAACACAGAGAGTTGTTATTAACAATTAGCAGCACTAACAATGCCAGGGACACTGCTGAATTCAGCATCCAGTCCCACAAAGCAAGCCCATTTTAGGCCCCTGGCTCACTCCTTGGGCCACTCAAAGCTGTTTGGGTTGTATTTTTATGGAGCTGTGTCATTTTCCTGCTGATTTTCACCAATGCTCTCGCTTGAAAGTGGTCAGAAGAAAACACGAGCCTCATGACATTTAAAAACCCAATCCTTAGGTCACAACCATTCCCTGGTCTGGAGGAGCCAGCGTCGTGGCCAGCCCCATCGTGGCCAGCCCCACCAAGACACTGCGAAGAGGCCTTACCTAGCCCGAAGTAGAAGAGGCCTTACCTAGCCCGAAGTAGATGCCGACCGTCTCCAGGGAGGCAAAGGTGAGAAGGCCAACCCCAAGGGACATGAACCAGTCTGGAAGACAGCCCGTGGAGAGCCTGGTCAGTCAGTGGTTCTGCCTACACCCCACCAACGCCCTCCCCAAGCCTCGCCTCTGCTCATGCTCCCTGTGCCAGTCTCCTACTGCCCCACCCCTCCCACTCCTCCATCCCCTGCATTCCCCCCCTCCATCTCCTCCCTCAAGCCAGCCCCCTTCCTCATGCATGGTGGGCGGGGATCCTGTTCCTCTCTTGAATCATGAATCAGTCTTTGATCCTTCTGATCACGCCGTACCACCAATTTCGGTGCCTATTGTCTCCGACCAATCTGCTTTTGCGCCTCCTTTCCCCCCTCGCCCTTACAAGCCCCTTCAGGTCTCTCCAACTCCCCTGGATACCTCTGCCACCCACCCAGCGCCTCTCCCCACCATGGCGTCCCCAGAGTCCCCTGCTGACCTGCGTAATAGTGATAACAAACCAACAGAGAGCCGATGGCAAAGCAGAGGAGGACGAAGTGGAAGAACTCATCTGTAAAAGCAGAGGGGAGGGATTTCGTTTGCTCCGTTCTCTCGTTAAATCCTGTCTCTGCTCAAATGGACCTTTCGTCAGAGGCATTGCCCCTGACCACCCACACGAAAATAGAAAATCGCACCTGGGCGCCCACTGCTGTCCAGCCCTTAGCTCATTGTTTCTGTCATTCTTATCACCACAGAAGGCATTACGTGTTTGTTTCTGTGCGTATTATATTCGCTGTCTCCCCCTTGGGGGAGCAACTCCAGGGGGGGCAGGGAATGTCACCTGTCTGGTCCTGGCCAGGAGCTCCGGCAGAGCTCCTGTGTGGAGTGTGTGTGGAGTGCATGTGAAAGGCAGCTGTGAAACAAGCAAATGTGCCCATTGTAAATGACCTGTGCCCCATTCTTCCTCCTCAAAGGGAGAGGTGCCTGGCAAAACCTTTCCACACATGCATATAGGCATTTTAAAACAGAAACGGGAACCACCTGTATCCTTGCTGCTTTATACATTGCTTTTTTTCCCCTTTTGTTGACAGAGTAGGCCATCTTCCTACCTCAGTGTCCAGAGATCGCTGGCTGCTTATCGGTCTGTGGTATAAAATTTACTCTAGTTTATTTAACCAGGTCACTGCTGGTGTGGGAGGATCCTTCCCTTCTAAGCGGGAGGCCAATTCAATTGACCAGCCAACGCACCTGAAGCACAGCCCCAACCATCTGTCCGTGGAGGCGTGGGTCGCTATGATTGATGCTCAGTAGATGTCAACAGAGCTTCCCGGTGAAGACAAACAAGGATGAAAGGCCTGGCCATCTACTCCTGACAAGCAGCCAGGGAAAGCATTTTGCTCTGTCGTGTCCGAGGTCCCGTGAGCCCAGAGTGAGTCGACAGCAGCTAACAACGACCATAGATGTCACTCGTTAGTTGCTGTCAGTCGATCCATGCTCCGGAAGCCTTAGAGTGTGTTAGAGTGGAACAGGGTCCACAGGGTTTTCTTGGCTGTAATCTTAATGGAAGCAGCTCCCCAGTAGTTTTCTTCTGGGGTACCACTGGATGAATTCCAAACCCTAGTCTTCAGGTTAGGGGTTGAGTGACCCCCTTTGTATTAGGTGCCATCGTGTTGATTTTGACTCCTATCGATGCCTTGCGACAGAGTCGAGCGGCCTCATCAGGAAAACCTTGGCTGTCATTGTTACACGAGCAGATGGTCAGGCCTTTGTCCTCGTGAGTGGATTTTAATCTCCAGCTGACAGGTTAACAGCCAGGCAGGTGTGTACCACGAATGTACTTATGTGCATGGAGTTCGTTACCACTCATGACGATTATATAGGACAGAGGAGGCTTCCCTAGGGTTTCTGAGGCTATATTCCTTTTTGTTTTGTCTTTGTCTCTTGAGAAAAATGAAAGTGTTATTTCTAGAGACTTTCTTAACTCAGAAGCCGGTTTATCACTTGAGGGAGGGCATTACACAAAACTAGACTTAATGTTTCAGGAATTGTCAGGTTTCAGTCGCTTTAAGTCCATTTATTTAAACAAAGAAACCAGGCCAGAATAAGGAATCCAAAATTGGACTCACAGCATCTGACAGGTCGTGGGAGGTGGGGCCTTGGAGATCCAAGAGCAGTATACATTTTTTCATTAACATTCTTCCTGCTTAGCTGGATTCTCAACCCTCAGATGAGTTTAGCTTCCTTATCCTCAGCCCGTGAATGATCAAGCTCTGTTGTGTTTGTTTGTTTTCATTTCAGTTTCTTTTTCTCAATGCCAATATAAAACGGTTCAAATGTTACGTTTCCCCAACAGTTTGGAGGCAGGTCGGCCTTTACAGTATTGCTTCTCTTTACCCTCCTTCACTAGCTAGGAAATTGCTTACTATTTTATTAAGTTTCAGTGATTGTCATGGTTATTGTAACACGTGTTCTTGATTGATCAAAATCTGATTTTTATGAGTACCTTTTACCCTCTTTCCAGAAAATGCTACAATCTTAGAAAACTTTAACGATATTTTTCTCCTTCTTAACTAACACATTATTCTTGTGTAGTTTTTTTGTATTAAAAGATAAAAACCATCAAATTATTTTCTAAACAACAACAAAAAAAGTGGTCACAAGGATGTGGAGCGATAGACGCTCTCCCTCATTGCTGATGCAAATGTAAAGTGGTACTGCCACTTTGGGACACAATCCGGCCATTTCGACAAAGCTGTGCAAAGGCTTACCAAACAACCCAGCAATCTCCCAGGCATCCACCTAAATGAACTGAAGACTTAACTCCCCATGAAAACCTGAGGCACAAATGTTTACCGCATTTATGTTCATCATTGCTCAAAACTGAAACCAACCAAGATGTTCTTCAATAGGTGAATGAATTTAAAAGCAACTGTGGCACATCCATCCATTTTTTAGGACGGTGAAGCTCTTCTATGATACTGTAGTGGACTGCAGAGCCTCCAGAGTAAGCCCTACTAGTCTATATTAGTATGCTTAACAGTCATGTATGTGGGTTCATCAACCACACTGTGGGATTATAAAGAGACTTTTCCCCAGCTTTGTCTCCCCCAAAGACATGCCAAAAGTTAGAGGCCTTTTGTTAGCCTATGGGGGGAGGTCAGATGATCACAGACTGAAGACAGTCAGTCACCAAACTAGGGTATGCCTGCTCCTTGCTGTTAAGGACAATAGACAGGCCTGCAGGTCATGATTTGGTTCCTGAAGGTGGAGTTCACACCCTACTGATAATGGTCTCTATCAGTTGAGCCAGGGAACAGGTCATACCGGCTCTGTGACATCCAAAATTAGGCTGCCATCCTGTATCTAGGATCTGCCCATCTTGCTACATGTATACCCTCAATCCCTCCTCTTCTTCTTGCATGGATACCCCTAGATCACATCCCTCCCATTACTGTATTACCTATGCACAACCCCTTCCTGGGACGTATGTCTTCACCTGTAATTAGAGGGCTTGCATGTCCCCAGAGATTATAAAAGCCTTGGTTAACATTAAATCTCTCTCTCCACATGGACCACCAAGTGGGGCTGAGGTGAGCATGCTACTATGAAATGTGTCTGACTCCATTATTTCAATCTCTTTTTGATCTCCCATGTTTTCTCTGACTTGACTATAATCGCTGTGCAATGGCACCTACTGAACTTATGATGATGTGCTAGGGGCAGGCTTCCCCTTGCACCACACAAATACAAGGATGTTAATACCAGGAGAGCAGTGTGCAGGCAGGCAGGGAGTAAATGGGGGACTTTCTGTACTCGCTGCACAGTTTCTTTGTAGATCTGAAATTGCTCTGATAAAGTGTATTTGACAACCAGAACACATCAGGGTCTTGACTTCTACCCTTATCTTTCTCTGTGAGGCCTTGATAGATTCCAGGCCTGGAGCTGAAGTGTTCCCTTAAGAATCCTTAAGGGTTCTTAAGGCTCTTTCTCTAGGATCTGATCTCCCCAGCCTGGCCCATTTCTAGCATCCACTTACACACACACACACACACACACACACACACACACACACACAC